CTACAACCAAGCGTTTTTTAAACAGGCTTAATATGCCCACAATTATTGTTACATCTTGTAAAGGATACTCTAAATGATGAGTACGAGCAGAAAGTAAAATAAAACTCTAACTAACAATGCTGATCTTGTATCACAACAATTCAGCAACAAATAACGTATTAGAATATTTAAAAAAGCATACTTTGACGTGTGTTAACTACCGTAAAACTTTAAATTGTAGTTACCATAAACAACTCTTTAAAATTGTTACAACAAAGAATATCAATTTGTATTAAAGTTGTAAAAATAGCCTAAGAGTACGGTCGTATCAGTGCGTAGCCTTTACCGAGTTGTTACGGTAAATTACATTTTAAAATGTCATACTAAACTTATATATTATATTGTATCTTATTCTTTACAATTTTAATTTAAGTAAATGAATATTATTTTTCTGTCGACCGTATTTTACATTTTCTCAAATAAACCAAGTACTATAGAACCAAAGTACTATGTTTTTGCAAAACTGCTGAAATATTGTTTCCATTTCCGCCAAAAACCCTCCTTACTTTAATACTACAATAGCATTAACAGGCCTACACATGTTAAAAAGCGTATTAATGTAGTTAAAGTAGGCTACAAACGCACAATTTGTAGGCGCTACATATAGCACAGTAAAAGTACAAAATGCCACTTCTTATTTACTTTCGAAAATTTTTAAAAGGAAATGGCTACAATAATAAGGTCTTCACAATAATGTTAATGATAACTGTAAAAAGGTGGCAAATGTCAAGAGATGATGGGACACAAGATATAGTAGTAGCAATGAGGCTAGGTTATATTGTAAATTGGTTTTTACCATGAATTCGTAGGTTTTCGGATGAGGGCATTCAGTTACAGAGTAAAAGAGAAAGGTATGAGTATGAGCAACAGTAAAACTCTTTGACAACGTTTTTTGATAAAGAGCTGATACAGACCCGTGTACTTAAATTTGTTGTGCCCTGCTTTTAGTACTCAAGCCTAAGCACCAGCAATTAGCAGCGTCACGAAATGTTGCTGTAATAGGCTACTATAACACAATACAGATACGTTTTCCCACGAGGAACCCTTTCACAAAATTTCCAAAATAAACCGCTTGAAAGCCCTCCAGAATCCCCATCATCACCATCATCATCATCATCCCCACGCAACACAAACGTCAAAAGGGGAATGGAACAGTTGACTAACAATTAGAGCGATTACTCTTTACTTTCAGCAACACTCTGCGACTGGCTAGCTAATTGTCTTCTGGAGTGCCGATCGTGAAACAAGAAGCCCATCGATTGCATCGTGAATTGCCACTCTAACGGCGTCGTCTTCCCTACTCCACAGCAATTACAGAAGCGCCCACTCTGTAAATGTCTCGAGATCTGCGGTGTTTACTTTGCTACTGCAGGGCTACCGAGTTCAGTAGAACACGTTTTTTCAAGATTTTGTGGTAAGGGGATTTGCGCAACAATGTATGCTTGAATTTTGAAATTTTACTATAAAAAGATATGGTATTCTACCGAGTGATAGAGTCTTTAAGTAAAGTTTTTATTGTTTATGCATAAAATGCAACAATAACTTTTAATGTAAACTCACACTATAGCCAACATAGAACTCCTGGCTTCTTTAAAAATAGTCTGATCCTCAATAAAAGTACGAAATGCCATCGAGTGTTTAAATAAATTGCCTAAATAAACGCGATAATGAGGGAAAAAAACTTAAGTTTTTAATATTGTTTTTTATTCAAAAATCAATAAAACTCAATCAAAAATACCTCAAAGCACACAAAAACGCATTCCTCTCCGGCCGGGAATCGAACCCGGGTCTCGCACGTGACAGGCGCGGATACTCACCACTATACTACCGAGGAACACGCTTTGACAAGACTTCATGGAAAGCTCAGAACTACATCAAAATAGCTTCACATAGACGTAAGATTAACTGAAACTTAAAAACATAAAAACTTTGTACCTAAAACTTAATAACAAATTGATTCTACGATTCAACAAATAGAACCTTATATACACCTACTTTCTGTAGCTTACCACAGACTGTAGGTATATGAAGTACACAGAGAACTTGTAAGTCGATTGTTATAGTAAATTTTAAGCCAAAACAAAAATTCTAGTCTTAATCTATAATCAACCTTTCCTGGCCATAATCTATGATCTACCTAAAGTAGCTTTAAGTTACTGTAAGAGTGTATAAATAGAACTTTAGCAAGCACCAACCTTTAAAGAACAATAAAATATAGATTTTGTCACTTTAAAACATCATTAGTCGTCTAATTATAGCTTGTACTGTAACTTTTTTAGCTGTTTGTTCTAGCTACATCTATCTACATTTAAATTCTCACTTTAAAGTAACTGTTTATGTTACGTGAAATTTATTTCAACCAATCTTTAAACTCTCAAATAACAGTTTTTACTGTACAAAAATACTGCACAAGGTTGAAAGTCATATGCCAATACTGTAAACAGTAGATACAATTCTATATCTATATATATATATATATTTATGTAGGCATACTTTCAAGAATGTATGTTAACATACTATCGTACCTTGGCTTATGTACCTCTAGATATAGCACAATAGCTATATATTGAGTTACGTATTTATAAAAACGATAGTCACATTTCGGTATATCACATTAGACATTTTATAAAACACTATAGCAGTTGACACAGTCGTATCTATTATCTTATACATCTTGACATTGTAGTAAAAGATTTGATTAATTAAACTATCACAATACAATACAAATGTATGTTGTAGAAGTACTGTAAGTACTGCATAAACACAAACAGACTATAAAGTACAAGTAGTAATAATAAAGTAGAAGTAACGTGCATAATGTAGACTACACAGTCAGTAGATACTTCACAACTCTAGAGTAACGTGTATAATGTATTATACAAATTCAGTATATAATTTGCAACCTCAGGCTAAATAGAAACAGACAATTACATTTGGTTTGTACCAAAAATGTCATTGACAATGTAAATTGTACTACCATATTACGTAAGTGCTACTAATAGTCAGATTTTGTAAAAAATAAGATACGATGTAATGGCATCAATGACTTTGTAAAACTCAATTCTTTACAAATTTTTTACCAAATTCATTTTAACTTCATCTTTGATATAAGCCAATTAAGCAATATAAAACTGTATTTTAAAACTACTATTGACACTTAGTTTGTAGTAAATCCCATCCTATAACCTATATCTTGCTATCTAACATTATGTTTCACAAAAAAGACACAAAACATACAAAATTATGGTTTCCAACTTATATTAAAGATAAAAGTCAAGAAAAGCAGTGCAACGACAATATGTGATAGTAATTGAAACACAAACAGTTACAAAACGTATTCTTAAATATCTATATGATTATGCAAACAAAAACAAATAAATAGAAAAAATTTTAAAACGTGCAAGCTTATTAACTATAATAAGTAGACTGAGGTGACCCAAACAAGATTATTTTTATATACAAGTTGCGCCAAAAGTTCTGTTACACGGTTTTTTAATCCAATATTTGTTTTAACAAAAAATATAACTAAAAAAACAACTAACAATAGTAACATATAGTACTAGTTATAATATAGTCAATCGGTTTCAAAGTCTTTTCCTTTTTGCGGCTTGGCGACCGGTAAAGTTTTGTAACAGAACTTTTGGCGCACCCTGTACAAGGAAAATGCCTAAACTGCTCCGCTCTGGTTGAATGCAAACTTTTATATTGGAAGATCGTGCAAATCTAAGACCTGCAGCATAGTACTAAATCGCGCTTTTCAGGAAAGCTTGAGAAAATCAAAGTCAAACTATTAGGTTTTGAATTTCCCGTCGATTTGGCATTGTGTTACAAGGTGATAACTTGGCCATTTTTTCACTTTTAATCATTTTTCTTTGACATAATAGTAAAAAACCTTTAAATGAGTCTACAATGTCAAAGTTGAAAGCGTAGCTTGTCTGGAAAGTATAAAAAAGTGCTTAAAACAAATGCCAAATTTACTAAATTAGCGGGTAATTCAAATGTTTAAATTTTAAAACTCAAAAACCAAAATTATTTTTGAGTACTACCATACTATACTATTAGTAGTCTAAAGGACTTATTTAAAAAATTGAGCTGATTTTGAGTAGGACAGGTTGCACTGTCCTTGTGAGCCTTCTTTAATTATCAAAAAATTTTCTGTTGTTACAGTAGCAATTTTTCTTATTTTTCTGATTCAAAACCACCCGCCCGGCACTGTAAACTTTTTAAATTTTAATAAAAAATAAAATCGTTTTTCGTATTTTACAATACTTTAAAAGTACAAAACAAACAACCCGAGTCAAGATTTACAGTAAATGGAGTTGATCTGAGAGCCTTCGATGAGTTTCGACACTTCCGGATTCCCAAGTTTTAAACGGCGCCGAGTAATCTTCTTTGAAAGCAAAAGTTGACATTCACAGCTGGACTGGGATACGACCATGTTCGTCTTTACTTTGACAATTAACGGTTCAGCTGAGGATTACCGTGGTATATTAGCATTCAGCTTTTAAACGTTTTGATGCTTGTAACTACGGTGTACTGTAGTTGTGAAAGGCTTTTTTTAAGTTTTTTAAATTTTCAAATAAAAATTTTGGTTTTTAAAATTATGAATTTAAAATTAAGGCCCTTAGGCGTAAATAGCCTAAATCATGTTTTATATTAGAATACTTGTTAAGCAATACGATGACTCACGCTCAACCATTAACTATCAATATTAATCAACTTTCTTATCATTAATCAATCTCATCACCCATTGTAAATTACCCTTTTGTATACCATAATACGACACATTATGTTACGTATTTACGACGCATCGGATCGCGAGTCTCGACGTTTTCTCTTCCGGAAACCGCCTTTTCGGGTCAAAACATCACGCTTTTTTCGTTTTTTAGATCGATTTCTCTTAACATCAACGAGGTGATGCTCAGTTACAGCCGTCGCAAAGGTCAGAAGCCGTGATCACAATGGAAAGGTAACATTTTACTTTCTCTTATCTTTAGTCTACTTTTGTTTTGTGAAAGTTTGAAATCAGTAAATCGATTTGTTTTCGAATTAAAAGCGAAAAACGGACATTGCTTTAGGTTTTTGAATATTTAAAGCGCTTAAAAGTAGACAGTGGTGGAATAGGGCTATTGTAAAAGCTATATTAAGTGTTTTAGTTAACCAATATTACATTATTTTATATTTAACGTATACGGTATAGTTAAGTTTTAAATGATTTATGTTTTTTACATCCGATTTGTCTATGTGAGTTTAAATGTAAACATTACATATGCGTACATACTATAATATTTTTATAAGATATATTAAATTAAAGTGTCAATTTCAATATTTTTAAGCTATTTCAAGTTTTTTTACTCAAGCCAATAAGATAAGTCAAACAAGAAAAATAATTTAGGCCGTTACCATCGTTGATATGTGAACGAACAGTGTCTGTAAAGTACCAATATGGCAATTTTCCAAAGTTTGTTATCAATTTGGACCCGGAATTCTATTACTCGAAAGAAGGCTCAAACGAAAAGATTACACAGCTCTTGATGCAGTTTAATATAGAAGAAAGTGTAAGTATATCTTTGTGAATATGTTGGTAAGGAATATTAGGCAGAATTCAGTCTTAATAGAGAGGAAGGATAGAGTGACAACATAACTAACTAGTAACTTTACACTTGTTTTTTAGAAAGTAAAGGTAAATTAACTTTTATATATATAAACGTGTATATACACAATACCAACTAAACATCTTACACATATCATTTAATTTTTACTTTTCAGAACGACAAAACCTACTTCAATTTGAAAGTAAGACTATTTTTAAAATCGTTTATATTATTATAAAAAAACTAGGCGAGAGATAAACTTACAATTATATATGATTGTCATTTTAGTGTTTGAATGAAGAATTCAGTTCAGACTGGAGTAAAGTAGACGTGTTTGTATATTCAACACATTGGATTGGGTACCTTAACCAAAGATGGAGCGACCCTAATAATTTTAGACGAGTAAATGATATTTTAAGTTTAATGTTTGTGGTTTTTCTAGACTTATATACAACATAAGTGTATACAATGTATACGAAAAATTATGCTTGCAAGTAACAAAGTTAAGTTTAGAAGATTGTTTTCTTCGACGAATCTTATTATACGACTGGTAATACCTTACATCTGGACTTTAAAATTACTATAACCAAGCTGGTAAGTTTACTTTTAAATTTTTTTAATATCATATTAATCTTTAATTGTATACAATTTTCAATTATACTACAGATATAAGAGAAGGTATGTATACATAATATTTAATTTTCAGACAGTCAGCTTAATGCAGCCTCGATTAAATTACCTGGGGCTACTTATGAATGATGAATTGAGTGATTTTACATTAATTTGTCCAGGAAAAGACAACGAACAACATAAAATACCAGTACATCGTATCTTATTGTATCAGTCATCACCGTATTTCAGAAGCTTGTTTTCTAATTTCGAAAATTTTAAAGAAAATCAAGCTGGATCTTCGTATATAGATGTAGATTATAATGTAAGTCTTTTTTTATACTGTATTTTTTATTTTTAATGCATTTTTACTGAAGCTATTATACGTGTGATAAGGTATATTTTAATATGCTGGCAATGAGATGCCTTTTATCTTATTGTCACCTTTTTATAAATTTACTCACAGTACAGTAGACTCCAAGTTTTTACCCAAATTTGATCTTCAGGCAATATACGAAATACTCTATTTCATGTATACGGGTAATCTGAGTAAAACCATCGATGACAATATAGCAGAAGCAGGAGCAGCGTCAGAGTACTTCATGATGGACGAGCTAACTAATGCCCTTCAAGAGAAAACAAAACTTTGTTTGACGCAGGACAACGCTGGTACTATTCTAGAATCAGCACTGGCGTGTCGGGTTGATAATGTAGCTCAAATAGCTTTTAAATTCATTAAGAAGGTGATGACTAAACAGCAGAAGGTAATTTTCATTTTTAAGTCGTTTTTCAAAAAAGTCTTCTTTGCACCGTGCCGACCTTTTTTTCCGACCTCCTTTGATCGCTCAGTACAACTTATGTATGGTTCAGCTTATCTACTACTAGACCACGCGACACCCTTTAAATTCTACTTTGAAGCTACTATTATCAAAAACAGAATTTGTAAATATTTTATTTTCAGGAACAAGTATTTGCTGATATTTGTGGAAAACTGCCGAGTCAGTTCGCGGAGTTTGTAGCCAGTTTAGACTAATAATATATTATATTAGTGGACTCAGGACATTGTTCTTATTTTAGCAACACAGCATTAAATAGCCATACTACTTACATGTACTTGTTGTTTATCTCAACGTTGTTAATATATTACGTTGTTCAAATAGTTTAGTGCCTCTTCTTACAGCGTATTTTTGGGCTTAGAGAGCACAGAATTATTTTAACAAACATTACATTGCAACTTTTGTATCTATTGAGTTATTATTATAGAGGAGTTTGTTATACAGGAAATTGTAATAAAATTAATTTAATGTTAGATATTGTTGTAGTTAAAGTTTAAATTAAATTTTGAAAAATTTTGGTAGCATTCAAAGGTTTACTAACAAGAATAAAATTTACAATGTAAATCTTAATCCCAGCTGTAACTTTTGGTAATTCCTAAACAAAATTCAAACTTTGGAAACAAAACACAATTCAAAGTATAAAACGACTTCAAAATCCCGCATTTTTCCCGAATTTTTCTTGTTTTTTCGCTTTTCAGAAGCGATTTTTCGATTGATAACAATGTTTAGTGATAATTCTATTGTTCAGGGTTCTGTTCTGGGTGCTAAGTGTTCAAATATATTTTTAAATTTAGTTTTGATATGCGAATTGTTGAGATTGAAAGTTTTTTTAGAAAAAAATGTTAAATTTTGTAAAATTTTAACGAAAGATTAATTAAAATGTTATGTTATTGAGGGTTTTGAATACAGCATTTGATTTTATATTAATATTATAAAATTTTAAAACGTTTATTATTGTGAAGAGCTTCGCGAACTTTAGCTTTCCATCAAACAAGAACCTTCAACTTGTCCTTTTATTTTTTTACTCAATAAAACTACAAAAATATACGGTTATATGTTTATCTACTTGTATATCTACGTTTATTGTGATCACTTGCATTATAGTTTATAGTTTTCTAGAGGTTTTGAAGATAAATGCATTATAATTTAATTATTTTACTATTTACTGATATGAATTGGGGGATTGCCTATGGGTTTTCAATTAAAATTCGTCATAAATTTTTTTAAAACAGTAGGCGGAGATCTGAAAATTTTTGTAGTTTTAGATTATTGGCCTTTTCAAATAACCTATAAAAGACGAGTTGAAGATTCACGAACTTTCAAAGTTACAGTCTTTTTAGTTTGACGGTAGTCTAATATTAAATTTTATGTTATGTTCAGATGTCAATACCGTCGCGAGATCGTGTTCGAATCTACATTCTGGGGTTGGTGATCTCTCTATCTTGTGGCTTTAATCCGGCCTTCTCGAACACGTACATGAATGGCTCTGTAAATACGTTCAAACAGTTCCTGAATGATTCTTTTATCAGAAGAGATCAGGTGTTGAGTCAATCTGGGTATTCATGGCTGTGGGCGACCATTCTGAACGTTTGGTTCCCTGCCTTCTTATTGGGACAGTTTTTAAATCCGATTGTTAATGAAAAACTTGGACGGAAGTGTAAGTTTATTGTATATAAACATATTGGTAGGTATTATTGCTTGATTTTATTATACCTTCATGAAGAAGAATTGGTGTTTTACTTAACGTTTACTGTGAATGAATACAGTAACTAAAACATTACATATAAAATACGAGGTTTTCTGTAAACAATATTTTTAGTAGGATCGATTGTGTTTAATGTGCTGGCGTTAATAGCCAGCTCTTTACGCTTTGTATCTATATTAATATATTCTCCAGAACTTCTGATAGCATCTACAGTACTGGCGTCAGTTGCATCTGCCATTACTTATAATTCTATGATATTAATGCTACAAGTAAGTTTTATTCAGGGCTTTGAAAGTTCGTTGTGAGAAATTAGCTCAATACTTTTTATACCATTTAATCCATTCTTAGTGATTGGTCGCTGTAAAGTAATCTTTTGTAAAATAAGAGTTATAAACACGTATTTTATACTTTTTTTAACTGAAGATGCTTTATTTTCCGAAAATTGTTAATCAGTTTGGTAGTACAATATAATGTTTATAGGAGTGTGCCCCAACGACGTTGAGAGGTAATGTAGCGACATTAGCCGAGAATTCCTACGCTTTTATCAGTTTGATTGGCATAATATTAAGTTTGGAGTCTGTGCTTGGAAGTGATCTCAGATGGCTTACGGCTTTTGCTTTAATACCTTGTAAGTACATTTTTTGAAAATATTACTGTTGCCGCAGAAATGACTGTCATAAGCTGTGAAGTATCAGGTCGTTCAAATAATTCTGGGCTTCAACCCCGAAATTTTGCATCGAGGGAGGGCACAGAATTATTTGAATAGTCTGTTAAAAAGTATTTTGAAGTTTTAGAATGGCCAAAATGCACTTTTTTAAATTATAGTCTCAGTGTCATGTAGGTGCCACTTTGAAGATTCGAAAGAGTTGCAATTTGTGTTTAGGTACCTTGGCCATAATAATGATGATACCATTGCACGAAACACCGAAGCATATTTACTTGACGACTAAAGACGTTGAGAAGACGCATAGAAGTATATATTTTTATCATGGTATGTCGACGGATGTTAATGAAGTTGTGGAAGAGATGAAACTGGTCAGTCTATATTAATATATGCTTTTTAATAAATGGGTCGTTTATATTAATATTTTTTAAATTTAAGATAAATAAAGGACAAAGGTCTATTGCTGACGGTAACGTTTTTACAGGAAATAAACATTGAAAACGAAGAAGATTCATCGGTTAAGGAGATTCTGAAGACGCCACATCTGCGCAAAGCTTTTGTTTTAGGATGTGCTGCTCTGTTGGTGAGTTGATGTTAACATCCATACCTATTATGTTATTCAAATAATTCTGAGCCTTTAACCCCGAAAAATTTTTTGAGTGGGGGAGTGGGCACTGAATTATTTGAACGGTTTGATGTATACTTTGCAAAGGGTACTCTCTTAAAATTGTGCAAAATTAGGTAATGGAAATTTTATTGACATTATCTGTCATCGATACGTACTTACATATTCTATCTCTGTATAAAAATCTAATTACAGAACGTTCTGGGTATTTGGCCGTTGATGTTATCATCGACAGACTTTCTTCAACGAGTAGGTATTACATCTTCATTCGCTTCTCAATCCTCGATTGTTCTAATGGTACTATACCTAATTGGTGCTATTGGAGCATCGTTCTTTATAAACAATTACGGTCGCCGCCCAATCCTGCTTCTCTGTGCTTCTGCTAATGCTCTATCTCTTATCGGCTTTGTGTTGGCAGCTCGACTACATTACTACCTCGACTTCTTCAAATACTTTTGCATAATATTCTTGATAGCATATGCATTTGCCTATGGGTCTGGAGTTGGTACTGTTGTTTGGTACTTGAATGCAGAGTTGGTACTACAACGACATCGGTCAAGGATTCAGATGATGTGTAGTGTGTTTATCTTTCCCATCATATTCATAACTACATTTACACTGTTTTCTTTGTACGATGTGATAGAAGAGTACGCTTTCTTGTTGTTGTTTGTATTACCAGCAGTTGGATCTATTGTTTATCTGTATAAAGAGCTACCAGAGACTGGAGGTAGAGAGATTCATGACATTGTCAGTGAGTTACAGGCGATCGCTGGAGAGAGACGAAGCACAGAGTCGACTGTGTCAACGTGATGTCATATTAATCTGATAACGGTTTAGGTCATATCAATGTGTTAACGGCATATCAATTATATTTTTGTACAGGTTTAAGCTTGCAATGATAACAGTTCAGTGTAACATATCTTACTGTATATAGATATAATATGTAAAAGTTTTGTATATAGATTAGAGTATGTATATAAAGCTTAGTTTATATATACTTCTTGTAAAATAGCTAATTTAATAGTAATGTAATTCACGATTCAGTAAAAAGATAGTTTATTAATAGATTATGTACAAATAAATGATAATATTATATTACATAGTGTTGAATTACCGCTCGATTCCTTGAACTAAAGTAGACGCGTAATTGGTAATTTTCCTGGTATATTATAGATGATGAGGTTACTCATATGCCACTATTACTGCAAAAAGAGAGACCAGTAAGTATAAAAACACGAATGATGGTAGTAAAGTGAACATTAATGTCAATTGGCTTCGATGGTACAGTTGCTAAAACAAACGTTTATAGCTATAATTATATTAAAAAATACGCCCGATAAGTCCAGAAATGATGCTTATGAAGTGAAAAGTATATGGAGGTAGCCTAAATTATCAAAGACTACTATAATATAACATGATGGGCAATCTCTTACTCTAACAACCTTCAAAAACTTTAAAAGTTCGAAACTTACGTGTAATTCTTTCCCATCAGGACCAAACAGAACAGTATCCTTACTTGCAGACTTGATTGGTCGACGTACTAACAAGTATTTCTGTAGCTCAAAGTCATAACACATTGCCATTACTTGTAATACCATCGTCAAAACAGCACAAAACAGTAGAAATGCATAAACTTTTTTTAATACTGGAGTTTGCGGCACGAAGATACGATAAAATTTTAAAATTTCGTCCATTTAGGGCAAGAAGTAAGTTTTTAGAAGTTATTGTACTTTGACACTAACGTACAGCCAATAATTTTATGAAAAATGTAAAAAAATGAAATCGAAAATTTTATAAAAATTCAATTTTAATTTTTTTTCAAAGTTAACCACCAATAAATTTAACAAACGACCCTACAACAATATCGATCAATTACAAACCCCAAAGCAAGTTCAAAAATTTCAAAACAAGTTTATTAAACCGGAAAACAACAAAATTGATAAAATTTTAGAAATTATGCAAAATAACCAAAAGTAGACACACTGGTACCTTTTTCAGAGGTTTGAACTGGATGGATACGCGTTTTGGAGGTTTTCTTGAAAAATATGCGGGTACAGACATAAACGGGCTTCGAACTAGAATCGTGTCAAACGTTCTCGGATTGGCTGCACTGTGCAATTGTAAAACTCAAATTATTGATTTTAAAAGTTTTTGATTGCACCGTGCAGACTTTCTGCGAACTTTCGAAATGACCGAGTTTGTTATGACTAGGAGTTACTGTAACTAATTAAATTCTTATAATTAAAATTTGAAAATCTTTTAAAATAAAAAACAGCTTATTTTTTACAAAAATACTCTTTTCAGAAGAAATACAGTATACACAAAAACTTTAAATAAGTTACATTAACCCCCGCCATTTAAAAAAATCTGCATAAAAACTGTCTCTAACAACTAAGTAAATGCAAAATATGTAAATGCAAAAAGATGGATAAGAACAACATGCTAAGCACATTGTGTACTAGTAGTACTACTTATAAGTTTTCGTTACAAATGCCTTCGCAGACAAATCGCTGAGGTTTAAAGAGCACGCGGACGGAAACAAAACAAAATACCTAAACAAGACAACATAAAAGTGATTGTAAAATTTTAAATTTAAAAAATTGAAAAAACAAAAAATTAAAAAACTGTAGGCACGGGATACGGTAGTTCTATCACTGGCTAGGCACAATAGAAATCTCTGACAACGGACGGGTTTTCAGTCTGGACTAGATAGACCTTTTGGTGCATTTAGGCTTGGTCTAGTACACATGTGTAGTCTTGACAGGCCTTTGTGGTAGATTTAGGCCTAGTCTAGAATAGTTAGACCTTTGGTGCATTTTGGGTAGTTTAGACTACTTTACGGAGCTTTTGGCGGCGATTACAGAACCATACACGGACTACCTGTAATATGAAATCATAGTATAACTTTATATTATAGAACATTAATGACACTGTTTGAGTTTGATGGTAAGTTCGATTAACTCTGCCATACAAAACCAACATAAACCGTTCTAAAATGACCAAAAACTACCAAAATCACTTACATCTGGATCCAAGTCCAATTCACACCCAATCTCGGCCATTTTGCCGTGATCTGGCCGCGGGTTCTCGAGGAAGTAATTGTCCAGCGCGTCCTTCTGCCTGGTGTCAAGATTCGTGCGTTTGCGACGTTTCTTTAGGGCCGGCAACATGTTGCCAAAGGCGGTTTGAACAGCACCTTGGAGGATTGGGGAGCAGCGATCAGGGGAAAACTGAAAAAAATACTGTTTATTCACTTGTAATTACTTGCATTTCTCATTATTTTACAATTGATCAAAGTTAGAAAATAGTTACATGAGCAGTCAATTATTAGTAATGTAAAAACGTTAAGTAGTTGATAATACACAACACAATAAGTGTGATATTGATTGATAAAGGCAACTAAATGCCAAGTATAGATAATAACATCTTCAGTCCAGACAAACAGCAGTGCTTCATATGACCATCAAGATAGATGATAACTAAAACTTCATATCGACATTAGTAATATACTACTATATTATTCACACTAATCTTTATGTAATTTTAAAGCAAATATCTAAATTGTATTTTAAATGCCATTTCATTACCCATACAACCTTCAAAACCAATATTAACTAATAAGCTCAAGAATTGACAGCCGAGCCTTGATCGAGCCATCGCTTATGTCACCGAGAATCACCTTCACCACGTTTACTATCCCCTTTACTTTATTATAATCTTAAGAAATTAAATTTTGTACATTTTAAACCATTTCCTCTTTCCGTATTCTAGTATTTTACAACCATTTTATGTTATTGTAGTACACTATTCCGCTTTATCTCTCGCCAAAAGCCTTCACACTCGACCAGAAGTAAGACCCGTACAATCAATTTTCCTCATCAGCATCCTCAAATACCATGCTTCCAGATCCGAACACCTGTTGCGCCATCAACTCTTCATGATACCAACACATCTTCTTCTCCTCCTACAACAACTACTCCTCCCCCACATCAACAAAGAACAGATCGTGGACATCTTCAGCAACATCCTCAGCCCATCCCAGCGCCTGTGTCCTCTCGATACTATTCCATTCACTTTGGTTCCAGTCATTATCAAAAGCGTCATAGTCATCTTGTTGAGTCTGAAGAGCTACAGAGCAGAAGAAGTTACTTTGATCTTGCCATGGCATTCCGTAGTTGTACTGGTTGTTGTTCCACCAGTCGTTGTTCCAAAAAGTTTTGAAGCTGTCGTCGTAGCCAAGATCCACTTGGACTGGCCGTTCTTGACCGTTCCAATGAGTTGAGTTGAAGTGATTTTTAAAGACATCATTATCTAGAGTTTGTAGCGCTCCATCTTCATCTTCTTCAACCAAATCGTAGTCTTCTTCATCAACAAGTTCGTCTTCAGAGTAGTTTTTGTGATATTCTGGTAGCTTGTTCTCTATATCCTCAACTCTTTTTGGTGGTACCATTTGTGTCAAAAGTTGTTGTGCTCTCTTTGCTACTTCAACTGAGTCATCCGAGTGTTTAGAATTCTTTTTCCACTTATTTTCAGCTATATCTGAATCCTTTCTACGTACTCCATCAAACTTGGTTCCCTTCTCTTTGAAAAACAAATGATTCCTAAGCCAGGTCAGAAGCCTATCAATTACATTATCCTTCTTGTAGTCTCTCATAATAGGTGAATACACAGCTGGTTCTCCCACTAACTTTGCATTCAGCTCATATAGGACTTCTTTAACCACAGGCAGAGCATCACAATCGATGTACGGTAGTTCATTGACTGACTTCAAAAACTTCTCCACCTTCTTTCGTTGTTTCTTCTCTAGGTTCATATCGTTCAATCTGGCTTCAGCTCTTCTTAACAGTCGTTTGATGTGTTCGTAATGGATGTTATCATTGCTGTGATCATGTGCTATTAGCCTGAGGCTAGAAGTGGACTTCGCTCTCTCTAATGTTGAGCTTTCTGGGTAAGTTGGTTTATGGACGGGGAAACATGTCATATCAGCCATCTTTAAGTTGTTCCTATCTCTGTATGGTACTGGTTGTGTTCGTCTAGGGCTGCTAGATGATAATGTTGGCACCCTATTCTTATAAGCTGTACTACTATCTCTTGCAAACTCAAATGGGGTTACTTTGTACATATACATTGAATTATGTACTCTACCTTCACTATCCTTACCTAATTTACCTTTTTCAATGTTGGTAGTTTGAGACCTATTGATATTGGCAGACTTTTCAGACAAAGGCTTCACAATAAACGGTACAACACCATAGTTAACATAGAAGTTGTTAGGATGCTCAACATAGATCCTATCAGACTTATCATTGTAGACCCTATCAGACTCACGAGACTTGACATTATTGAACACACGGACCTGGCTAGAATCCACAGATTGTTCCAGAAGCGCCTTCAACTTGGCCGCGTCGTCGTCGATGGTTTCGGCCGACGGTGAAGCTAACGATTCTGCTTCCATGATCTCGGTAACAGAAGCCCCTCGTTCAATGGCGGCTTCGGCTTCGTTCATCCATTCTTCCATCAGTGGGCGCAGCTTGCACATGTTCTTAAACGACAGATTCAAGGCTTCGAAACGAGAAATCGTGGTTTGAGAAAAATCGGTTCCGTAGCGACGTCCAAGTGCTATACCAACATCTCCTTGGGTGAAACCTAAATTTTGAAATATTTTTTTTTATTTTTTTTAAACTACGTATCAATTATGATAACAAAAGATATTCAAAGTTCATACCGTGCTTGATTCGTTGCCGTTTGAAATGTTGTGCAAACTGTTCCAACTCTGCCAATTCTGGATTCACCTCTGCTTTCTGTGCTCGTAACTGACTCAATACAGATTCGGAAGACTTCATATGATGCCCACTAGGTTCACGAGCTCTGGCTGACACCGCTCGAGCTGGAGTTCGAGTTATCGTGATCTGTTGAGGTTTTTCCTAAAATGATCATCTTATAATTATAAAATCTTTAAAAATATAAGTCACAAATTCCAAAAATCCCTATTTCTTACTTCCATGTAAAAGCAATTTATCATTACTAACAATGTAAAAGCCGTGTTACCATTATGAATCATATTATCTTACATTTTTAAACAATTCTAGCCAATTAGTGGTGCCTTGGTCATCAAAATCCTGATCTTCTGCTTTCGAGAGCTTCATTGAAGCTTTCTTTGTAGCCGTAGACGGTTCTTGTCCCAGTGCAAATGCACGATTAGCCAAATCGCCGATAGTGGCGTTTGGCCACAAGGCCAAAGCGGTCGTGATTTGTTCGGCCGATGACAGGGCAGCTAAAAATAGATTTATTAGTAATATATTGCTTTAAGTATTATTATAAAAATATACGACCTAATATTGTGATGAATATACCTAACATTTTATGATTAATTCTGTGAGAAGCTGGTCAAATTAATCATAAAAACTTTAAAATAACAAAATTGAAGTGATAAAGTTCTCGCGCTAACTAATTAAGCCTTCGACGTGACCCTGAATCCGTGGTAATCCTTTCTGATCGTATTTACTCATCTATTACCCCACATTTACTTGTTTTTCACCGCAAAATCACACTTTTCACTAATTTCTAGACGTTTTCTTTTAAATTCGAGTAAAATAATACTTTTGTAAGAATAAAAGGATCAATAACTTGACAAACTATTTTGTATTTTCTTAACCACGATATTAATATTTCTCCAGATAGCTCAAACAACTGAAGAAAAGAAGAAAGCGGTACCTTTTGTTCTTAAAATGACTTTGTTTTTGTTCAAAAATAAACCTTTTCTTTCAAGTTCCTAACCGATTCTGCGTGAAATTACCGAGTAAATATGTTCTACAGCTCGGTAAACTCTCAAGTGTTTCCGGAACACACTAATTTGATTCGGTTGAGGTGTTTCCTTCCAATTCAAAGTAAAATGACAATCTTCAGAGGGAAAACAACCTTCAAACCCGACCCGCGCGACGCCAGATTAAAAACGTAAAATCGAGCTTATAAAAAGAAAACAAAATTGGGAGGAAGAGGGCGGCTAGCTGGCTTAAAAGGGAGTTGCAAGGCTTAAAGAATAGGCGACTAACAGCTGCACTGGCAACCACATGGGTAACTTGACGTATAGAGGGTTGAGCAAGATACTACAGTTAAATAAAACATCACAGTAAGTCTACTATAGTTGAATGCAACATCACGGTAAGTGACTCCATAGTGCGTTAAACAACATGTACATCAATATTGCAACAAGTTATACAAAATTCCGCAGTTAGTTATACAAAACACCGCAGTAAGTTGAATAACACACTATGAACTATCCTTTACATTACCCTTCACTGCTAACCGTCCGCGGTAAAGGGCAACATGATATTACATTCGACAGACTCTCGGTCATATTATATTATAGTATTCGAATGTGATTAGTCACGTCACGTTCCCAAAAACTATTGTCAAAGTTGTCACAAGACTAAAATTTTAACCTCGGTTTTCATTGTTATTTCGTTTTGGAATGTATTCAACTTTTAAAATATTGTTTTTGATTCCACAACATCAATTATAGTGTGACAAAGCTATTATACCAGATAGTATATAAAAATTAAGCTGGTATAAGAGTTTTGTATAATAGATATTATAAGAAGCAAAGTCTGATGTAAAATAAAGCAGCCTCTCTTATAGAAATGTCAAGACATTTCGTTACAACTTTTTAGCAATAACAATAACCTCGAGTCGTAAACATTACAAAAAAAAATTCGAGGCAATTAATCGAGAATTCAAACTTTTCCGAAAACTTCAATTTCTCAATGTAAAATAAGCTTTGCACTTTAAAGGCATTTAAAAATTATTCTAAGTATGTACTTTCAAATGGTCACTGTTCACGGTAAATTTGCAGCTAACATTGCTTCAATTTTAAAATTTAAACTGATTTAATTTAGAATTAAAACTCTTTCGCTCAAACTTTTAATTTGCAAGCAAAACAGTATTGTCTTACCTACTAGTGTCCCTCTATTTCAAAAGAGCCATAAAATAATGCTAAAAACTTACACAATTTGGCCAATGTGTTAGGATCAATCGTTGTCGTCGTATCTTCATTTTCTTCCTTTACTTTAGGCGTTTGTTTTGAACAGGAAGGGAGGTATTCGTTGAAAGATTCGATAAGTTCTGGACATTGTTTTAGTACATCTGTGAATGCAACACTGTCGTCACCAGCAGCAGCAGCCAATAGTAATTTAAGTAGATTTGCTGGTACTGATACGTTCGCTGACCTAAAATATTGTTTTTTAAATTTAAGTCTTTATTCCTATTTTAAAAATTAAAAAATATTTTTTTATCGTCACATAATTTTATTACCTTTTTAAAAAATTAAAATTTCTTATCTTTCTGAAAAAAATACAAAATTCAAAAAAAACCTCGTCTTACCCAGAATCATCTCCACTAACAACTCCAGAATCGTTCAAAGAAGCCATCGACGCATTTCGTCCCATTTTCTTGACTGGGCTAAACTGTGCTTCGGTGGCGGCCGGTCGTTTCACCGGCTGCTCCACTTTCCGTCGTTTGGCCAAGAGTTGGGGTGAGACAGATCGTTTGGTGGAGGAGGCGGGCCGATCCGAATCCTCGTCCATCTCTTCCTCCACGTCCGACACGTTCGGATCCACAACAACGACGCGCTCTCCGTTCACCAGGACATGATCCGCGACGGCTATAAATAGACAATTATTGGAGGGTAAATAAAGGTATACAGTAGCATATTGACCTACAATGATTATTAGCATGAGAAGTTCAAAAAAATGGAATTATAGTATTTCAATATTACCTAAATTATTTAAAAAAAAAGTAATTCTGTAGTAAAATTATTTAAATTTTCTCTAAAAACTATAATACTTTAACAAAAAGTAAGTATTGTTTGCTCAGTAAAAACAACAGTTAGTTTTACTGTAAAGTAGCCAAGAACCAACCAAAAACATTATAAAAATACCGGCTATGCTTACTTAATCTTTCCTTTACACCCTAATTTAGCTAGCCTTTGTCAAAGTTGTAGAAAAAACAAAAAATCATAGTTCTAACCCAAATAGCAACTTACATCGCCTCTTCGCACCATTTTCGACTATGTCATCTCTGAGAATGTGATCCCCCTCTTCGTCTGGATGCAAATCACTGGCCATAGGATCATCCACTGATTGGCGGTCGCTTTCGTCTGACTCAAAACTCTGATTGTGTCTTGAGTCTCGGGCCAGCACAGCCGTCATTCACACCCTACAATACTGTACGGTAAAGAAGAAAAACTAGATATTCGCGATATAACACGATGTAAAATTCATTTATATGGTAAAATACACTAAGTACTAGCATTCTTTTAGAACCCAAACTATACAAAGTAAAACATTTCCATATCAAATTCATATACCCAAATTCATAAGAAAAATAAAGTAAAATACTATTTTTAACATATATGTTTCGAAAATAATACAAAAATCTACCAATTATATCAAAAAAGTACCCATCAACCCCATAAAGTTGTAATTCTCGACTCTCTCAAAGCAATAATTACCTAAATATTGGAATAATTGAGAAAAAACCAGCTGTTCGAAGCGACCACATGACAGTCAAGGTATAAATAAACAAATCAGACATAAATTAATCACTTGAATATTTAGAAAATTAAATCTATCTTACCACTTCGTCTTTTCAAACCTGTTTTGAAGTGTTAATATCAATGTTGATATGCGAACAAAGGAAAAGACATAATCAAGTCAAGTTTCAAAGGTTTCATTTGAATATTCAGAGTTATACTGTTATAAAGAAATTTAAATCGTTAAGTTTAACATATAATTTCAGAGTTTAGCATATTTTTTACATTATCCATGATAATCTTCACAACCACAAGAAGCCGTACGTATTTTACAAAAAATGTTATTTTATAGCTACGAATTTCGTCTATAATACTTCTGACCCTCTAATCACCCCTTAACTCAACCAAAACCTAATTTCGTCACAAAACAATGAAATTAGTCTCCTACTACAATATAAAACAGTATCCCCTGATTTTACCCTCTAAATTTCCCATAAAATCCTCGAAAGTCCCCTCAAAACATAAATTTCATAAGAAAAATAAACAAAACATGCAAATAAAAGTTAAAAATCCAAAAATCCTGTCGTTATGACACATTTCTGGAAATTCGCGTAAAAATCCGAAAAAATATAAAAAAGTGAAAATTTTGGGAAATGAATAAACAAAATTTTGAAATGTCCCGCTTGAATTTATAAATGTTTAGAGGAATATATTGTTATAGACCCCAAATTTGGTAATATATCCAGATTTTTGTATAAACAACTACTTTATAAACAGTTTTATTGTTAAATTGGTGGTTAAGATCATGTTTACTTAGGTTTTAGGTAGTTTTGAACAGATTTTGAGCTCATGAACAATGATAATCACGTTTTAAAGGTAATGTCAAGTTAATATGAGAAACATACACCAAATAAAGGACAATACGAACAGTCTGGGACACAAATGGATATAAAGGTACGTCTTATCACATTTTTATTGTTTTTTAGGACTGCAATTAAAATACAGGTTTGATTTGGCCGAAATTTAGCTTACAGATCAAGTATGCTAATTGGAATATTACAAAATAATAAAATAACTGTTATCTCTACAGTGATAACAAGTATAACAATATAAACATAACCCCCGAACCCAAAATCCGCGCAAAACCAACATAATATACGGTGAGATTAAGCCCATCCGCCAATGGATAAACGGAATATTCGACGAAAGTGATCAATAAGCGGAATTATCATATCATTCCACTTATAATAACGGCGTGGAATCTCGTTTCAGAAATTCATCGCTTAAAGGCATTTAAGGAAATCAGTTTTTTGTTTAAGAGACGGGTCACAAACGAGACGACGGAAGCCTTCGGGTTTTGATGAATATTTGTTTGAATGCGGGGTCTACTATAATATTCCGCCCGTCGACTTGATTCGCCGATGGGCGAATAATCTCTAAAATTGATTGTCTATGATAATTGGGGTTGATGAGTAGGTTGCGCGTTAACATATTACATATACCTATTCTTCCGTCATCTGACCACATTCGGGGCGTATCAATTATAATTTCTTTGCGAAATTTATGAATTCATGGTGATTGTAAGAGGTGTCAGGGTGTCGCAAAGATTCAGATTAATAAGGTCAAGTTCAATGTTAAAATGCATAAGATATTGATGTTTTTTAAAGCGAGGGATTGGGGTTTAAAAATAACGAAATGAGGTATGAAACAGGAAATTATAAATTTAAAAAATTATTTCAAAAAAAATTTTACTCTATAGGAAAGACCATTCTAGGTGTGTATTTTTAGACCAAAAACCCCCAATTAAACCATAAAAATTCAATTGAAATAAAAAACGTAAATATTAAAGAATTAAGCCTATTTTTTAAAAATTAAATAGATTTTGTCATTATTTATGCCCAAGCCTTTAATCACATATTCCGCACCACAACGCCCGAATTTGCATAACGCGGGCTCGTCTTACCAGTAGCCGTTTTATATGTAAATTACACGGTGCTCGGAATTAGCCTCGCACCAATAAAAATTTGGTTGCCTTTTGGACAATAAAAATAACGCAGATTTAAATAATTTATTCATGGGCCCCTGAGGCGGTGTTGTCCCCGTCCCAGCCAAAAATAGGCGCAGTTACCGCTCTCAATTAGAACATGAGTAATTTCAACCTTGTTTTTTAAAAAATAAGGCATTTCGATTAACATGTACCCTTTAAAATTAAGTGTTTGACCAATATCTACCTCCTAAAATAATAATCCTTTCCTCCCTCCCACTTTAAAAACAAAAATTTATACTGGTCACCTTCTCCCAATGGTCTCACATTTTTAAATTGGTCTTACGTCGGCCAAGAGTATTTTTATGGTAAAATTTATCAACCCCTGCCCTGTCCTCCCCAATTCCCCCCCTGCCTGCCGTCATTTTGCGACGAAAAACGATTCAGAAGGCGGGTTTCTTAAAAAATGCAAAAAAATTCTGCTGCCGGCAAACTGCCATAAATTACGCCGCTGTAAGACTTTTTGCGAGAAGCGGTTATGGTGGTAAAGGGGTCGTGATCGAATGTCACATTTTTGCTTAATCAACTGCTACTGTAATTTGCGTAAAGCGCGATATGAACTTTCGGCGGTGCGTACGGTAGAGTGGACAAATGAAAATTTGGGTATTAAACAGGAGGGGTGGGGTCGTTTAAAATTGGCGGCAGAACAGAAAAAACTATAGATTACAAAGTGGAATTCAAAAATTTTATTTGGTATTATAATAATATATTGCTTGGAGGTGGACGGGGGGGAACTCCCCCCCACCCAGAAAAAAAATTTTCGAAAAAAGTTGAACGTGGTCCCCCCTGTGGATCTTTTGCAAAAAATTTTTCGACCCCCGCCCCCAGACTAAAAGTCCCCGCCCGGCACTGATGGTGGATAATCGTTGTTTTCACAAGAAATATAAACTTTTATATTATAATACTCCATCTTTAGAAAAAAATTTAAATTAAGATTTAAAATCTTGAGAAATAAACCCCCCAAGAACCGCATTTCAAATAAAAAATCTCTCGCAATCCTCTCAAATGCCTACTTTAACTTTAGATCACAAGATCAACCCAAAACAAACAAATATAATATTCAAAACAACAATCAAAAATTTAAAAAAAATTATTAATAAAAAACAATCATGCTCAAATGTCCCCAAAAACCCATAAAATCGAGCATTTTTCGGGAAAAAGTCGCGCGCACGTCATCCTCATTAAAATCGGAGTAATCAAACAAAAAACGGACTAAAAATTCAAATTTTTACACATTGTCTCGCCCCGCCAGCCGTCTCAACGAGTGCGCGATAAAATCCCGAATGCAAATATTGCCTTGAGGAAAAGTGGGGTTGGGAAGTGTGTGTGTTTAAAAACGACGTGTGGAACTTAATATGCATAATGAGCGGGTGATAGGGGCTGATAAGGAAATTTGGTTGTAAAATTAGAATGACTGCCGTTTTTTGTTGCGGGAAGTCGGTTGGATTGAGGTCAGAAAGTCAAAGGAAGTGATAGATGATAAACAAATATGGATCAGTTGGAGGAGATCGGCAAGGGGAATATTGATCGTGATCGATGTTATTAGCGGATTTGAGATTTTTTACAAAATTAATCTTTAAAAATGTGGTTTTTTGGTTAAATTGGCTACTTTTAAAGGTGATTTTAGCTACAAAGAATAAAAACAAGTATCAAACATGAAAAAAATAGGAAAACAATGACAGTTGCATCTTTTAAAAAATTTAGTCAAAAATGATGACATAATTTTAATAAAGCTTAAAATCTTCAAGGCCGTCTAAAAAACTTAACAGCGCCAAAAAACGCAAAAGCCTAAAGGCACAAAGATCCTTGACTGATCAATCACCTTCAAGTCTTCGTTTTGTTAAAATTCAAATTCGACCTTTTAATTTTAGCGGATCAAGCGGGTTGTTACACTAAAGCTTGCTTTACAATGAGATATCAAACTTTGTTTTACGGTAATTTAAAGCGTGCTTACCGTAGTGGGCAAAACACTGGTAATACAGTAAATTTAAAGCTTGTGTAGTGGGTCAAAATATAAAGAAAAAAATTTGCATAAAATGATAACATTTTTATCTCTCAAAGAACGATATAAACTTTTTGACTAACATGATATACTGAATACTAAAAAATAAAAACTACTGCAAAACCTAGTCATTCCAGCCAAATAAACCAAAATGATGATAAAAGATTCAGACTTTCGAGTACCAAGTTCAGCACGAGAAACGGCCACGAATGGTTTAGAAGGCAGTTTACGCAAATGTAGACACATAAAATAATTTATTCATGGCGTTGGGGCTGGCTGCAAAATTGGGTAATTTTAGCCGGACTTTCGGCAATCCCGGTCCAGTCCAACGATGACGACCGGGATTGCCTCGACCATAATGCCGGAACCGAATTCGTTTTTCGAGGAAATTTAAATTTCATTGCACTAGAGACGCATGCGGAAAAACGAGACGCAAAAAACAGAAACTGGCCCAAAAGGCCGTATTCAAATTTGTGGAGCGGCTTGCTCACCCCCCCGTTATGCAGCACGAAGCCTGAGGGGGGAAACCGGGGGGAGAGCAAAAAAACGCAGTCAAAGCCAATTGCTTTGGCGGCCATTTGAAGGACTTTTGGAATGCGGGTCGGGCCCACAAATTTTTGCATAAATGAGG